AGGGAGTTGGCTGCGGCCGCGGCGCTGGCGCCGCTGATCTCGGTTGACCTCTCGACGCCCTGGGGCCCGACGGCGATGATGTTCGACGCGAGCCTCTACGGTGGTGCGCTCATCTCAACGGTGGCCACAGTGGAGGAGCAGCGTCGAGAAGCGCGATATGCTGTCCGAGGAGGCTGGACCGTTTGGACGGGCATCTCTTCGTCCTGGGCGGCGGACGCCTGGTGCGAGGGGGAGGCCTTCAGACGCGTGGGCGCCGACGTGGAGTTGGGCACCCGGATCCGAGTTCCTCCTGCGCACGAGTGCTGGGGCGACATCGCTCGGTGGAAGGAGGTCGCGCGCTGGCGATGGGAGCAGAAAGAGCGCATCAACCTGCTGGAGATGCGGACGGGGGTGGCCGCAGCGAGGCACTCGGCCCGCGCCCGCGCGAGCTGGGGGAAGAGGCACCTACGCATCGCGGACTCTATGGTCTGCCTCGGCGGGTTCAGCAAGGGCAGATCGGCCAGTCGGCCCATTCTGATTTTGTGCAGGAGAATGGCCGCCCTCGACCTCGGGCGCGGCATGCGGGAGCACTGGCGCTGGGCGCCGTCGGACCGCAACCACAGCGACGGGCCGAGCCGAGGTTTTCCGATTGGCCAGGCCCCGAAGGAGCGGAGGACGGACGAGCTGGTGTTGCCGGAGAAGGTGGCTTCGAGGATCGAGGCCCTGGCGGACTTGGCGGAGGTGGATCCATTCCAGCCGCTCAGGATGAGCGTCTCGATCCCGGTGAAGGTGCTGCGCTTCGTCCATCTCTGCAGCGGCCACACGCGCATCGGGGACCTGGAGGACTGGCTGCTCAGGATCGCGGGCTCGCGGGGCTACCTGATGATCTGCACCGACGTGGACATCGGCTTCGGGTCGGGGTTCGACCTGACGGACGAGGTCAACGTGCGGAGACTGGAGCTGCTGGCGGAAGTGGAGACGGACGGCGGACACTCAGGCCCTTCATGCTCTACCTGGTCGCGGGTTCGCTTCCAGCCTGGAGGCCCCCCTCCGCTACGTCTGCGACATCAGCTGCGGGGTCGGCCGGGCGTGCGAGGGGGCGACGCGAAGAAGGTGAAGCTTGGGAACGCGCAGTTGCTGAGCAGTTTGAGGATCCTGAAGCCGATCGGCTTCGAGGGCGGCTCGGTACCCGTCGAGCATCCTGCCGATCCGGGTTGTCCGCCTTTTCCTTCGATCTTCGTGACCAAGGAGCTGATGGACTGGGAGGCGCAGTTGGGTGCCTACCGCGCGACCTTCCCGCGGTGCATGCGGGGCTGCCCCGCGCTGAAGTTGACGACGCTCACGGGGGCGGCCTTCGAGATGCAGCGGTTTGTGCGCCCCTGCGTGCACGGAAACCACTCGGCGAGTCTCTGCGGCAAGGGCGAGAGCGGCCGTTTTCGGACCAGGGTGGCCCAGGCGTACTCTTCCGACATCTGCAGGATGCTGGCGGAGTGCCACGTGGACGCGATGCTGACCATGCAGGAGAGACGGGAGGCCGACCTGACCGAGAGGGCCGTGGAGCAGTTGATCTCAGAGACCCTGGAGCGCAGGCGCCGGGACGCTACGTTGCTGGAGTCACTACCTGCAGCTTTCCTTCGAGCCTCGGGCTGACTGAGGGCCCATCACACATGGGCCCATCACACATGGGCCCATGTGCGATGGGCCGGCCCCCGCCCATGCCCGACGATGTTCGAGCGCAACTGGTGCAATATTACGCAGACATGATGCAAGATCTATGGGATTGGGCTCAGCAGTGGTGCAGCGACCTCACGCAGCGGGCCACCGACGGTGCCGAGTGGCAGGAGTGGCGCGTGGCCTTCATGACGGATGTACTTCTGAGCGGTTCCAACGAGGCCCTGAGGCGCCTACTCATCAACGGGCTCCCTCGCCACACGATAACCGACATCATCAGAGATCTCTGCAGCAGCGCGTGGAGGCAGACGCAAGATCAAAGGGATCGCTTCATTGCGAACTTCCGAGAGGCGACCTCGACGGAGAGACAGCGGCTACAACGGGAACGCTGGACGGAGCTGGAGGATATTCGCGCGATGTTTCGGGTTCGACTTGATGGCCAGGCGCCTGACCATCGACGCTCGCCACCCCCCAGGGGGCCCGACTCGGATGATGAGCAGCCGTCGGCCGGGACCGCGTGCAGGTCCAGTTGCCCGCGGTGGTCTGTGCTCCTGGGCTGGCTGCTGCTACCTTGTCTATCGGACGCCGTCGGTGAAGAGAGGCCTCGTCACCACGTTCAGCACCGCAAGATGGGCAACACCCGCCGCAGGAACGACGCGGAGGGCTCGCATCTACAGCGGGCGCAACGGCAGGAGAGAGCTACCCATGGGCTGGCCCTGCTGCCGTTTTCGGTCTCCACCACGACGGCGCTGGGCTGCTACATTCCCAACGTGCGCCGCTTCCTGGATTTCGCGCTGGAGGTGAACCTGCCGATGATGAGCCGGGAGGAGATCGACGACTTCGTCCTTTGCTACTTGGACCGCCTGGTCGAGGATGAGGAGGTGGGCCCGCGCCGAGGAGATTTCGTTGTTCATGGGCTCGCATACGTGTGGCCTGAGCTCTCGACGGGGCTGCCGAGGTCCAACCGAGCTCTTCGAGCTTGGCATCGACTGCACGTGGCAGGAGAAGGCGGACCTCAGCCTCTCGAGCTCTGGGCCGTGCTGGACGAGGCCATGAGGTTGGCCGGGGGCGTGGGGGCCGCTGGCGCCGCCGAGGTCGCCATGGACGCCTGCCTCAGGTCCGCGGAGCTGTTCGCCCTACAGGCGGCCGACGTTGTGGTCGACGTGGACGAGGCGGGCGAGCAGGTCGTGGTTCTACGACTCGGGGTGACCGAGCGTGGCGAGAGGACCAAGACGGGCGTGAGGCAGGGCGTGCTGATCGACCGTCGGCATGTGAGTGACATGCTCGTGCGCAGGAAGTCCGAGCGAGGCCCCTCGGACCGAGTCTTCAGCTGCTCGGTGGATGCCTACCGCCGAGCGCTGAGGCGAGCCTGCGACGATGTCGGTGTCGAGCACTTCCCGCCGCATGCTGCCAGGCACTCGGGGCCGAGTCATGACGCGGCGACGGGCTACAGGACGGCGTGGGCAATCCAGCGGCGCGGGCGGTGGGCTTCAGAGAAGAGCGTGCTCAGGCACATGAAGACGCGCGCTCTGGCGGCCGCCCGCGCCGCGCTCCCGCCAGACATTCTTGAGCGCGGGGGGCGACTGATACAGAAGAAGAGTTGTCGCCCTGCAAAGGCTCGTGAGTGATTCATTTCGCATTGTGAATGATCTATCGTTTTTGTTAGAGCCTCGCCGAGGCAGTGAACGCGCGACGGCTGTTGGAGGCGCCCGAACCTCCCACCCAGCCCAGGCGCCGCCACAGCCAGGCGCTAATGCAAGCTATGCGGTGGCGTGGGGCATGATACGGTGTCTGTTTCAGAGTTTCATTTTTTTTGGTCGCGCAGACGCCGCCGTCGCCCTCTGCCGCCGCTCTTGGCGGCATCGTGTTCACGGTTCAGGCAGAAAATAGAGAGTTCAGTTTAGGCTGGCGCCACCTTCCGCCGCCCCCAGCGGGACAGAGACAGTGACCCGTGCCTCTAAATGTGCGTTGATGCAAACAAGGAAGTTTTCGGGCCGTGGTCCTCTTTCGCCCTCCCCCTCCCCCGTCTTCTAAGTGGTCGGCGGGGCGGGGCGGGGAGGGCGGGGGCGGTGCAAAGTCAGGGGGCGCCGTTCTGACATAACACGTTACGTTTGTGTTCTCCGTTCAAGTTCTCCCTCCCTCCCTTCCCTTCTTTCGCTCCCCGTTCACTTATGTACCTCGTCGCAGCTCTGTGGGGGCAGAATACGGTGTCTGCTTCAGACTTTCAGATTTGTTTGTGGGGCGGACACCGCCGTCACCCTCTGCCGCCGCTCTTGGCGGCGTCGTGCTCACGGTCCAGGCAGAAAGTAAAAAGGTTCAGTTTAGGCTGGCGCCACCTTCCGCCGCCCCCCGCTTGGAGAGAGACAGTGACCCGTGCCTCTAAACGATTTTTGCTTGTTGGAGCCCTCTTGGAAAGCCTCTTGAGGCTCTCTTGGGGCTTCTCGGCGGCCTCGCGGGCCGTATAAGGCCATCTTGGGCGTCTTGGACCGCTCGCTCGGTGACTCGGAGCGCTTTTGGGCTGTCTTGGAGGGCTCCTGGGGTCCTCTTGGCCGTCTTGGAGGCGTCTTGGGCCATGTTGGAGGTCTCTGGGACTGTTTTGGGGCCCTCTTGGGCTTCTCTTGGTGGCTCGTTGGGCCGTCTTGGGGCGATCTTTGGGGCCTCTTGGGCACGTTTGGACACTGTGAACCCCAGACGTCGTATATGCGAAAAATGTACGTTCGCCTTGGGGAATTTGGCGATTCTTGCTTGTTGGAGCCCTCCAGGAGAGCCTCTTGAGGCTCTCTTGGGGCTTCTCGGCACCCTCGCGGGCCGTATGATGGCCTTCGTGGGCGTCTTGGACCGCTCGCTCGGTGACTCTGAGCGCTTTTGGGCTGTCTTGGAGGCCTCTTGGGGCCCCCTTGGCGCGCTCAGGAGGAAAACCATCTCTGAGTAAAGGATGGCCGGGCTGCGCCCGGGCGGCGGTCGGGGTCCTTTTCGCCGGGTGACCCCCAGGGGCCGCCCCGCGCGCGACAATTATACATATTGTTAACCAGTTGCTCGAGATCGTAGCACGCCTCTGGCCCGTTGGGCCGGCGAATTTACATTCAGCAGCATCATCATCATCATCATCATCATCATCATCATCATCATCATCATCATCATCATCATCATCATCATCATCATCATCATCATCATGAGCATCATCATCATTCGCTTTCTTCTGCCCCCCGCTCCCTCCTTCCTTCTTCCCCTCCCTGCCATCCCCTCCCTCCCTCCTCCCCCCAAAACAGTTGTCTCCCCTACTCCTTCGCCCTACCCCTGCCGCTTCTCCCTTCCTCAACCTTTCTTCTGGTCGAGGGCGGGCCGCGCAGGCTCTGGACGAGTGCGAGCTGTGCGTCTCGCTCGACCCCAGCTGCGCGGCCGGCTGGCTGTGCAAGGGCCACGTGGAGCGGGCGTTGGGCAGAACTGCCGACGCGGAGCTGAGCTATCAGGCGGAGCTGAGCTTCCCCCCCCTTCCGCCTCTTCCGTCCTCCTGATCCATGCTCCAACTGTCCACTTGCTCTGTTTCCGCACTGTCGGGTCTAGAGGTTCGCGTCGTCACCCGCTTTCTCGCTCCCTTGCGTTAGGCCGCCTGGAACTTAGGGCTTGGCATCCCTTCGTTGGAGAAGGTGACGGTCGAAACAAGAGTGCCCCGCTGTGCTGTGCTCTCAGGGGGAGAGCCTTCAGCAAGACGGCGTGCAGACTCCTGCAATGCCGAGTCCGACCGACTGTCCTACGTCCGAGAGCTTTTTTTTAGCGTGTCGTTACGCTCGTTCTGGCCCACCACGATTCGTCGTGGCACGTTGACCGCGCCCCGGCACCCATTCCCTTCAGGAGCCTCCCGCTCCCGCGGGGCAGAGCGACACTCTATCTGGTTGCAGGGCAGGGCGTGTCGCCATGGCCAACGCCGCGACACGCTAAGCAACATTTCCTGACCGTAACCTCCACCGTAACGTCGCTTCTGTATTCAATGTCCGCTTTCGGTTTTCAACAGGTGGGAGAACGACAGCGAAGAGAAGGAAGCTCCAGACGGAACGTTCATACCGCTTCGGGTACCGCGACGTTTAACAGCCCGTTGTGCACGTCCCTAGATCGATCAGCGCGCGGGCGAGGAAGTCCACATTCGTTGTCTGCGTCCCCGCGAAGGTCAATCACATCGTGATGCAGAGATGGTCGACGGAGTGTAAGCGGTCTGGGCTTGAGTCCCCGACGTCACCTCGGTCAGAGTGGATGCGGGCTTGAATGGTTGTCATTCCCATCGCGAGTTCCAGAGCTGCCGATAACGAGGTTGGCAAGGGGCACGCTCTTCGGCACGTGGCTTGCAGACGCTCCAGGAGCCTGTGTTTCCTGGCTCCTCCCTGCCTCGCCCTCCGAGCAGAACAGATGGTGCAGAAGTGCAAACAATTGCGCGGTGGCATGTGATCAACCATGCTAGGCCCCCGCACCTTCTTCGCAAAAGCCCTTACTAGATGATGCTCGAAATTCTTATCAGAATGCACCCCAGGAGGGGTCAGTAGAGTACAGTAGGAGCCTACGGAACGTTCTTATCTTAGCTTGGCCCCAGGAACCCGCAGACGCCCTGGGGCACATGAGGTTACGAGGAGATCGACCAAGAACGTGCCCCCCTATTTCTTACAACGGGGGGTCTTATCGTATGCATGTGTCTTCTTTCGGTTCTCCTCGAGAAGTCCTGCCCCGAATCCACCCCTGAAGAGGTGTGCGGAGCAGCGGTGTCGGTCTTGTTTTGTCCCCCCACCCGCCCACCCCCAACAGAGGAGGAGGAGGAGGAGGAGGAGGAGGAGGAGCAGGAGGAGGAGGAGGAGGAGGAGGAGGAGGGAGGAGGGAGGAGGAGGAGGAGGAGGGGGAGGGAGGAGGAGGAGGAGGAGGAGGAGGAGAGACAGGAGACGGGGACACGGCGCCTCGCGCGCCAGCCCGAGCCGACGGCGTCAGGAGATGTAGGGCCTCGGGCTGCGCGCAGACAGCACCCCGCAAGCAGTCCCGGCTGGCCTTCACAGGCCCCCCGAGCGTCGGGGGCGGCCACGAGGGGTGATGAACAGGGGGAAAGAAAAATCATGGCCGGGGCCATGATCCATCTCCCCAGGCTTCATGTTCCCCCTTGTTGCTCTTGCAGGACATCCCTGGGCTCCCCACTCGTCCGCGCCGATGCCTCGGGCCATGATTTGCGAACCCCCTTCTTCGACGCTTCACTCCCAGACCCCCGACGTCATGATTTTTTCATTGCGTCAACCCCTGGAGGTCTCGACCCATTCCCCTGGATCCGTTTTTCGTCTTGAGTCGTTTTTGATTGTCCTGGGAGCCAGTAAGGGCTCCTGAACGCCCACAATAGCTAAACACCTCCCGTCATGATTTTTTTTCATTGCCCCAGTGGGTTTGGGGTGTTGAGACCGCCACGGGCTGGTCGGGGGGCCCGTTGAGGCCCGCCCAGACTACATTGGGGGAGGCTGCCTGCGCGCAGCTGGAGAAGCCTTACCAAACAGCAGGAGGAGGAGGAGGAGGAGGAGGAGGATGGAGGAGGAGGAGGGAGGAGGAGGAGGAGGATCGAGGAGGAGGAGGAGGAGGAGGAGGAGGAGGGGGAGGAGAAGTCGGGATCATGAGGAGGAGCAGGATGAAGAATACAAGAGCTCCCCCGACCTTCGATCCTGATCCTCCTCATCCTCGAGGCTCCTGGATCCTCGATCATAGACCCTCTTCTTCGATCCTCGATCATCAGTCCTCGTGTCTAGATCTTCGATTATCCTCCTCGATCTTCGGTCCTCCTTCCCGATCCTCGATCTTCGATCCTCCTCCTCCTCCTCCTCGATTATCGATCCTCGATCCTCCTCCTCCTCCTCCTTCTCTTCCTCGATCTTCGATCCTCCTCTTCCTACATCAGCGGTCTTTGATCCTTCTCTAGCCTCGATCCTCCTCCTGCTCTTCGTCCTCGATCCTCAATCCTCCTCCCCTTCCTCCTCGATTCTCCTCCTCCTCCTCAGTCCTCGATGCCCCCCTGGGGCCGAGGCTGGCCTGCAAGTGGAACCCTCCCACCCCGAGTTCGCGGGCCTGCTGGCGGCGCTGCGCGCGGAGTCGGCGCCCTGGGGCCGCCTCGGCTGCCGAACTCTGCGACCTCCTTCGTTCCCTGAGAGCCTTGCCTGGAGCCGGCTGGGGGTCTGAGATGGCCCAGCATTGTTTCCAGCCAGCAGGGATGGCCTCTTCATCCTCCTTTGTCCTCCTCCTCATCCTTCTCCTCCTCCTCCTCCTCCCTTTCCTCCTCCTCGTCGATCCTCCTCCTCCTCCTCCTCCTCCTCCTCCTCCTCCTCCTCCTCCTCCTCCTCCTCCCGAAAAGGACCCCTGCGGCCCCAGGAAATCCGCGAATGCCGAAGGAAATCGAAGGAGGTCCTGTTCGAGGTTCTGGGTTCGAGAAGGTTTTTTGCCGGATTCAGCCTTGGGGGGACCGTCTTCGGACCCCGGGGCCGTCAGAGCAGATCCGCGGCGAAACAATGCACCTCGTGGACCCCGGGAGGGATCGGGGACAGATGTTAAGCGGAGTTGCTTGCATCCCTCCGTCTTGACGATCCAGTTCAGACCCCCCGGCCGCCTCAAAGTTGCAATCGTTTCACACCAGGCGGTTTCGCCCGGCTTCGGGCCCTGGGTTCATGCAGAGGCAGCGCTTTTACAGGGGGGGGGATCGGCTCAGTGGGAGATGTATGGACCCCCAATCGCACATAGCCCATACCACCCAGGACAGTCGCGGATTCGCTATCGGGGGCCAATCGCCGATATCGGCGATGTATGTGTACTCCATTTCATGTCGATGATTTCCCCCCTGAGCTGATCCCCTCCCCCAAACGTTGCCCCTCGCAGATCATCACAGATCGACCGCGGTCGAAAGATACGGGAGAAAGATGGGGTCTAGGGCTCTGGTCGTGATTTCTTGCGACGCTGCAATTTATTCCTCATCGTCGGATCTCAGGCCGACTGTCCTTCCATAAAGAGGCCCCGTCTCCCAAAGCAAAACGTCCAACACCAGACAGCTCGCCCCTTGGCCCCCGCCAGCCCTACGCCAAGGGGCGAGCATATATACGGGCGCAGCATAGCGCTGCATGCGTAGCCCTCGGCTGGGCCAGGCACGGCAAAACCCAACACTGCATCGCGTGGCGCGTGGATGCCCGCACCAACCACGACTCCTATCAGTCCCTACCTCCTCTCGCCACCTCCTTTTCGTCCTCGTCCTCCGTCCTCCTTCTCACCCATCCCCCCGTCGGCCCGTGCGTGGCATATGGTGCTGCATGGTAACGCCTGGGAAGGATCCTCACCGCCCAGCCATCAAGCTCCCAGCGACACATTTCACATCTCTCGCTTGAAACTGACACCCCCCGCTTGAAACTGCCAGCTACATATCCTCACCGCCCGTCGCTGACAACTGCCAGCTAGTTTCCCCACCCCTACAATTTTAAGCAGCCAGTGAAATATCCTCAGCCGCCGGGCCTAAAACTGCCAGCGCACTATCCTCAACGCCCTGGCGTGCGAATTTATCCACACACATACACCCCTCGCGTAAAACTGCGAGCAACATATCCTCACCCCCTTGCTTAGAGCTGCCAAGGAAATATTGTCACCGCCCTGGCTTAACACTGCCAGCGAAGTACCCCCACACCTCTCAGCGAAACATCCTCACCCCCTGCCCTCGCTGGAAACCGCCAGCGAATTATCGTCATACTCATCGCTTCATAATGTCGGCGAAATATCCTCACCCCCATGGCCCACAATTGCCACCATAATATGATTGGACTTCCTGACTGAAAGCTGCCAGCGCACTATCCCCACCCCCTGGCCCAAAACTGCCAGCGAAATGTCCTCACCGCCTCTGGCTTAAAAATGCCAGCTACATATGCTCACCTCTGGCCCATAACTGCCCGCGAAATATCCTCAACCCCCTCGCTTCAAACTGCCAGCACAATATCCTCGCCGCCCTTGGCTTCAAACTGCGAGCTGCCCGCTGAATACCTCCACCCCCTAAACTTTACTTGCCCGCGGAATATCCCCACCCACCTGGGCCAAAACTGCCAGCGAAATATCCTCACCTCCCTTGGCCCAAAACTGCCAGCGAGATCTCTTCAACCCCTTGGCTTGAACTGCAAGCAAACTATCCTCACACCCCTCGCTTAAAACTTCCAGTGCGATGTCCTCGTACCCCAGCCTAAAACTGCCATCGACATACCTTCACACCATTCGCTTAAACTTGCCATCGAAATATCCTCACCCCCAGGCCTAAACATTCCAGGGAAATAAGCTCACCCCTTCTGAATGAAAACTGCCAGAGCAATTTTCTCACCCCCGGCATAAAACTGCCATCAAACCGCTTTGGTGATGCAGTCCAGGTTTGTCGTTTTGTCAGCCAGTTATGTCAGTCAGTTCTGTCTATTGCCCTGCCAATGCATCAACCAATCGTTCTGCCTACTTCCCGAAAATCAAATTACGGGCTGCGCCCGTAAATGATTATACCAAGGAGGTGCGATGTGGGAGTTACGGAGTTGGGGGCGGGGGCGTCCAGATTTGTTTCCTCTTCTATGTAGCAAGCCTTCTCCCACACGAACCACCCTCGAAAAGTGAGGGGAGAGGCTGTGTCGTTGAATGGCGCTGCGAGCGCCATGGCCACTTGAAGCCTATGTGTTGTACCTGGTAGGGCTGCAGTGGGGATCCGGTGTGTTTCCCCAGGCGGTGCATTTGATTTGGTTCTAGTACTGCTCGGTTCGGCACCTGTGCCCCAGCCGCCCTGCGACTGGTATAGCTCACAACGCTGCCGCTCGCCATTGTAAGCGACTGGGGGTGTCTGGAAGAAATTCCCCCCCCCAGAGGAAGAGGATCATGGGCATGATGACTAGGGGAGCGACGCCGAAGGGGGGAGGCGGAGGAGGGTTCTGAATGAGGACGAGGAGGTTGATGTAGGGACGAGGAGGAGAAAATGAGGCATGCACAGGGGGTGGGCAATCGATTGGCAGCAGGAACGGCAGGCGGGGGGGGAGCTACGGGCATGGAGTGCGTGTGCGCGGCCGGGTCGCCGACGTCCTGCCCACCCGCCTTCAGGTCCGTCTCCCCTCCATTCCCTTACAACATACATCCGCCCATCCTTTGCCCTTTCCCCTCCCCTCTCTTCCTGCGCCAGCAGTCTCTATTCGTCGTTGGTCCCCAACCCCCATCTCCATGCCCATCCCGCCCTGATCCCGCCCCTGCCCTCATCCACACCACCGCCCCCATTCGCATCCCCATCCACATCCCCACCGCCCCCTCGCGTCCCATCCCGTCCGCGCCCTACCTTTTACTATCCCACTCCTTCTTTACCCCCTCCTGTGTCTTCTTGCTCTACGTTGTCGTCGTCACCCTCCCTCCTCCTCCGCGAGCTTTCCCGCTCATGCAACGCAGGGATCCCAAGTGCGTCCCGGGCTCTGGGCCAACCGCCGTGCTCTCGTAGGGTCGTCCTTCTGGGCGTATGTCGGCGTCTCGCCTCGACCTCCTCCTGCCCGCCTGGGGGGCCGCTCCCTGGACCGGGGCCGCCTAAGACGAAAAGTGCAGCGCGCACTTGAGAACAGAGGAGAGGGTCCCAACGCGGACCGCGGCGAGTAAAAACGGCCCCGCCCAAGAGCTCTCCAGAGCCTTCTCAGATGGTCCAAGACGGCCTCCTGCCCGCTCCCCAGACCCCCGACGTCATAGTTCTTTCATTACGTCGAACCCTGGAGCCCGAGGGGGTCTGATTCTGCTCCGCTGTCCTCCCCCGCCCCGCTCTGTGCTGGGCCGGGGTGGCCTGTGGGCGCCGGACTTGCCTTCGTGCCCGCGTGCCCGCGTGCACCCCAGGCGCTTCAGGTGCCTCCAGAGAGGATGGGCTTGTTTTCCACCACCACCATAAGTTGGAGGGGGGAATGAGGTGAAGGAAGAATAGGACGAAGAGGAGGAGGCGGAGGAGGACGAGGATATCCAGGATTTTCGCGCATACGTAGTGATAATAAAGGCTGAGCTCAGCACTTGGGAAACAGGTCGCGATCGATTCTGTCTAAATATTCGCGCCTGGCCTTGGTGACTAAGTGGGGTTGACAGGGATTACCTAAGCCCCTGAGCTGGGCCTGACCGAAAAATCCGCAGGACCCACAAAACCATATTCGTCTGTGTGAAACCGAAGGGCGTGTGAGGGATGCGTCCAGCCACCAGCCAAGTGTAAACTCCGTCCTTTGGGGGCTCGGGAAAGCTTACTATTCACAGGGAGCGGGGGCAAGCACTCACTTTTTGACCATTCGGACTCCTTCTCTTTAGAGGTCGAGCTAAAACACACCCAACACGCTCTACCATTGTCGGTCAGGGTGTGGGCAGTCGCAAAGCGTGCAAGAGCCTTGGGAGGGGGAGGCCGAGGGGCGGGAGGACCCACAGGAGCACCCGGAGGCCCATCAGACTCCTGGGACCCTTGGGAGGCAGCAGTAGATTCAAGCCCTACTCTGAGAAGACGCCTCCTAACCAACCGTGCCTTGCGCTTTATATTCGGTGCACTTTATACCTGTCGATTTCTGGAACCCTGGCCCTATCAGCCGCAGCTCCCGCTAAAACGTCGACGCACGCATTACCTTGAATGAGCCAGCTGCCCCACCCTTGCTCGACAACATCTTGTGCCGTGAGGTGGGACGGAGTTTGAACAACTGAGACATCACTGATTCTGCGGCCTTGATCATCGAGAGTGGCCCCGATCCTACGCCATAAATCCGCCCGAGGGCCAGAGGGTCTCTTGGGGGCTCCCGCATACCATCCCCTGGCAACCTCAGCACAATCAGTAATGTACACCACAGATCCTGACGAGAACCGAATGCACCATTCAAAAGCCTGGAGCTCTCCCTGGGGATCGACTGAGTCGGCTCCACGAGGGGCCCCAAGAGATGGGCTCCCAGGACACACCGCGAAAAACTTTGGAAAACGGCCACTGCGCTGCCTACGCGACGGAGCCTGCAGTCGTGGGTATCTTTACCCCCCGAGGCGTCCCCGAACACCAAGAGAGGCGAGCTGACACTCCCCTGGCCTAGGCACCCAGGGCCAAGATGGCCATGGA